GCCCGAGCCGCAGCCGCTCACCGGGCGGGTGGCCTTCACGGACACGGACGACGTGGCCATCCTGACCTACGTGAAGGAACATGCCCGCTCGCCCAGCTCGGTCACGGGCAACGCTCTGTGGAAGGCGATGGAGAAGAGCGAGCTCACGCAGCACTCGTGGCAGTCCATGAAGGACCGCTACCTCAAGCACCTGCGGGGCCAGGAGCACAAGTACCTGCTGGGGGACGCGCCCGTGAGCCCCTCTTCTCAGAAGCTCAAGAGGAAGGCGGAGCAGGACCCGGAGGCCGCGGACAGCGGGGGTGAGACCTGCGGGAGCGGGGCCTCGCGGGCGGGGGCGGGGCTGCCTTCTGTTTGGTCCCTCGTTCTCCTGGCTTCTGGTGGCATCGCTCGGCCCCTCCCTCTTGTAGACATTGGGATAAAATTGCACCAATTTCTTTTCTTTTTAATTTTAAAATCATTTATTTATTTTTATCCCATTTCCCCCTCAAGATCCCTCCCCTCCCTATGTACAGAAGCGTTGTTTCCATTTTTCCTCTTCTATTTTCATTTTTTCTTTGTTCCTTTTCTTCCTTTCTCCCTCCTCTCGATCCCTTTCCCCTTGGAACACTTTCTATTTCCCAACATCCGTTACACATTTCTGCCCTTATTTCCACTTTCGATTTCTCACACCAGAGAAACAATATGGTGTTTAAATCTGTGTGTCCGATTTATTTCACTTGAGTATAGTCTCAAGGCCCCATCCATTTGGCTATAAATGTCTGAAGCTCGTCTTTATTACAATCCCAACTTTTAAAATCACACTAAAATTAACCTGGACAATAAACTAGGCAGAAATACCTTTCCAAAGAGAGTAAGTTCAAAATCTGTCTCTTTGTTTTGGTTTGGTTTGGTTTGGTTTTTTTGTTTTTCGAGACAGGGTCTCTCTATGTAGTTGAGACTGACCTGGAACTCACTATGTAGCCCAGGCTGATCTCAAACTCACAGCGATCCTACTGCCTCAGCCTCACTAGTGCTGGGATTACAGGCATGTGCCACCATCCCTGGTCTAACTGTGGTAGTTTTAACGACGATTCTATATTCAAAAGGTACAGTATTCTATATAAATATATTAAAAAATCTACCTCCCTCCCTTCCACCAGCTACCCAGTTTTAACATGCCCAGGATGGCAACATAGTGAACTTGTGGAAATCAGCCTCCCAAATGCTGAGATGACAGGAGTGCTCCACCACACCCAGCCCACAGTTTGCTTTTTTACATAATATTTATCTTGAAGTCTTTGTGTGTCTGTGCATAGCTTTGTCTTCTTTTTTCATCAACTGCATAATATTCCATTATGTGAATGAACCCTAAGTTGTTTACTATTTTGTTTTTGATGCTAGAGAGAAGCTAGAACCCAGGGCCTTGCACATGCTAAGCACATTCTCTACTCCCAACTTTATTTTTTATTAGAGAAATTTTTGAACATTTATAAAAAATAGAGTAATGGTAAACTATTCTGCATGTATGCATCACCTAACTTTGCCTTGGGTAGGTATAGTTCATGGCCAGATTTTCATTTATACTCCTTGATCCTAACTTGAATTATTTTGAAGTAAATGCCAGACTCTTATCCATTTTATCTTATCGCTTTATTTATTTATTTATTTTGATTTTTTGAGACAAGGTCTCACTGTGTAGTTGAGACTGACCTGGAACTCACTATGTAGCCCAGGCTGATCTCAAACTCACAGTGATCCTCCTGCCTCAGCCTCTTGAGTGCTGGGATTACAGGTGTGCGCCACCATGCCCGGCCTATATTTTACATAACACATTTATGTGA